CTTTCCGTAAAAAAGGAGCCACAAAATCAACTTTATTTATTTATTTTGTCAATTTCCAGGTTATAAGTTTATAATAAACAAAGACATCTTAATTTTTTAAAAAAAAATAAAAAAAAAATCATGCAGTCATATACTCATTTGTCAAATCAATAACAAGGAGAGTACCTCTTGTTGGAACTGTTTGTGACCTTCCGATATATCCGACCTCAGCACCTTAATCGCAACTGGCGTGTGATCGATCATGCCTTTGTAAACGGGCCCATAACTGCCTTCACCGATCTTGTCCGAGGGTGAGAAGTAGTTGGTGGCAGCCTCGATTTCCTCTATGGAGTAGCGCCTGCACCGGACCCCACAGCGGGCCAGGGCATCCATGGCCTTCTGCTTCTCCTCTGACTCATGCTGGAACTTGCGCTCGGCCCGCTTCCTCTTCTCAGACTCGAGCTCAGCTATGTGCTGGGCCCGGTGGGCTATGTCGACAGCGGCTTTGCACTTGCTCTTCTCCCTCTCCACGACAGCTAGTGCAGCATCACGCACGTGCTTGGCCTCGGCTAGCCTGCTTGCCTTCTCAGTGTCCCATTTGATAATTTCCCGGACCTGTAAATTGTTATCGTGAAATTCCTGGTTTGGTGCAATTACAAAAACAGCCTTAAATCACAATAGCCCTTAAGATCTAGTGCAATTTACAGACACACCATTATGTTTATCTTAATGATAGGATTAAATTACACAGAACTCCCAGACTGATGGGATTTTCGTTCTTTGCCCTCCAATCTTCCATTTAATGAGACTCTGCGAGTGTTACTTGCATGATAAAATGTGAGATGGGACAGGGAACAAACTCACAAAGAGGCAAAAGCAGAAAAAAAAATTATACTTCAGAGGTTAATGGAAGTTGTTCGGTGGGCAAAGTACAAAGAACCAATAGTCCAGGGGGTTTGCTGTAAAAAGTAAATTCTAAAGGGGCATTGATAATTACAAATAATATCATAGGGTTTTCTTTTCAGACTGAACCTCAAGGCTAAAATTTGTAGTTGATTTTTATGTATTTTTTTTATCCATTGCATAATCAGTTCTTTTTAACACCTTTTCTTTTGCAGATTCAGCTTCTTGGCAAGCCACATTGTACATTTCCAATATCTGTTTCAACTCCACTTTCATCCTCCTCAGTTCATCCTCTAGCTCCTGAAACACATAATCCACCAAAATAATCAGAACAAAGAAGTCTCCAAAAAAAATGACGAACAAAAGAAAAAAAAAATATTCAACTCACAGCTGCCGAGGCAGTCGAGCTCCCAGATGCATCCGAAAGCTTTGAATGGTCCATGAGCTCATATGAAAGGTCTGACTGGTAACTCTGCTCCTCCGAGGGATCACTCGACCCAGACAAGAAGTGAGGCATGCTATCCAACGTCCGGCCCCTCATATTCACAAAATTGGATGACTGCATTAGGGCGAAATTGGGGGCTTTGTGGTCAGGTGAGTTGCTGTGGCTGCTGAAAGGAGTGGAGTTGAGGCTTATGTTGGTAGGGGAAGGTGTGTTGCTGCTGGTGGGAGTCGAGCGGCCATATTCGGGCGACTGTCTCGAGCGGGAGGTGTATTCGAGCGAGCGTCTCGGCCGGGTGAGTCCCCTAGGGGTAGATTGGTCAGAGCATGAATTCTGATAGCTACCCTGTCTGCAATGTTCAAGTTACGATTGGAGTAGTTGAGTTGAGTGAAGGTAGTAGCAGTGTCAGTTAGGTGATTAACTCCACCCATCAATTTACAAATGGAATGAAATATAGATAAATTAGGCACATTGTGATCATGTGTTAAACAAGAAACATTTTTTGCACTTGGATTGTGTGTTTAACAAGAGTGAGATTAAAACTAAAGGACCACATGTTTGTTCAGTCACAAGCAGAAAATCTCGATTTTGGTCCATCTTTCACACTATCGACAGCTATTGTCGTACAATGAAATGAAATAAATCTAAATCAAGGTCCCGCATTTCTTTTTTTATCATGGTACAAATGACAGGTGTACATAAAAATAAGCAGATTGTGGCCCATGTTCACATATTGAATTATAAACATGGCATTCAGATGGAGTGCATAAAAATTTTATGAAAATGAGAACTCAGTTCCCATCATTCGGAATTTATAAAATGTAGCTTACTAACACACTGAAAGATTGTGAGGGCATAGATACACACACATATATAGGGTGGACCCAATGACACTCTTCCTTAAAATACATGAAACTCAATCTTAGCCATTGATTTGTGCAGATCAATGCCTATTAATCAATTAGAATATATATATTAATTATATAATAAAAGATAATTATTATTATAGGCAAAATTGCACCTAATATCATGACATGTATTGAGATTGTAAATTAATCACAACCTTTTCACTTTTGCACACTATATCACGTTGTTCAAGTTTTTGCAAAACGATACACGGTTTTGATCACCAGCCCTAGAAGAGCTAACGTGGCACTCCAAATGCCATCACACCTGCTAAGTTGTATTTACCAACCATTTTGTTTTCCACCTCAAACTAAGACGACGCCGTTTCGTCTCACTTTTTAAGTATTTTATACTTTTTCCACATCATAGCGTTTGAGCAGCGTAAGCACGAAGAGCACAAACGGGGCGCTTAAAAGCAGGGTTTTCACAAGTGTCCATATCAAGCTCTTAACAAGAATCGAACTTATAGAATTTAAGGTCGTGGGCCTGTCTGAAAAGGGTTAATTATTAATCAGGTTGGTGAAAAGTGATGATTCTGGAGCAATTAGAGAGAAATCAACACTGTTTTTCAGCAGATTGCAAGAGGATGACGTCGTATTGTAGACGAAAGACGAAATTTGGTGGCGGTTAGTGTTTCGATGGACAAAAGCAAAACTTCCAAAGACGAGGGTGCAGAGAAGGAGGAGATAAAGCAGAAGGAGAAAATGCAAGTCTTTAATGGAGCAAGGGTCGTAACTGTAGCATATCTGAAAGTACTTTGATTGGTCTTCTTGTTCTTGTTCGTGTTCGGAGATGGAGGTGATGGGCGGCTCAAGCGGCGGGTAGGATTTGGAGGGGAGAGGTTGGGCGGCAGCGGTGGCGGTGGATGAGGGCTCGTCTTGGGTGGAAGACAACTTGTTGGGTTCGTCAGAATTGTCCATCGGCGGCGAAGTGCGGAGGTGGGAGAGTGGACTTTTTGTTTTTATTTTTTTTCCTCAGTTATTTTTTTTTTTTTGAAACGAAACGACCTCATCAGACTAGTGGAAAAAGAAATCGGCTCGTAAATACAACTTAGCAGGTGTGGTGGCATTTTGAGTGCCACATCAGCTTTTCCAGGGCTGATGGTCAAAACCGTGTATCTTTTTGCAAAAAAATTGAAGAGCGTGATATAGTATGCTCATGATTGCACAACGATTCTTTGACGAAATTAATAGAGAATGGCGGAATGTGGTTGTGGTGAAACCATTTGTGATATAGTATGCAAAAGTGAAAAGTTGTGATTAATTTGTAAGGTCATGATATTAAGAATAATTTTGCCTATTATTATATTTAAACTAATTAGATAATAAATAAATTAATTTATTTGCGTTGAGCATCACACCGTTGACCAATCGATCCTAGCACCCCCTCCCTCAGCCACATCATAGACCCCCTCCTAAAGTCCACTTCCCCACCCGCCGCCGCCACCGGCCCAGCTCCGCCTGCTCCCTTAGCCACATCCCAGACCTCCGGGCTCGGAACCAAGCCCGTATTTTGACCAGGCTGATTATCGGCCACTTCAACATCATCATCAACATCAACATACCCAGCATATTCCCAACATGTTGGGGTCTGGGGGGTCAGTTGTACGCAGATTATCGGCCACTTATTTATAAATTTTTGAAACGGCAGGCCTGGTTCAGGAGAGCCCGGAACCGGTTATGGGGGATTCCTACGTACGGTCACATCATCCGGCCGAAATAGAGATTCCTAAGACCCAAACGCAATTTCCGGGCGGGAGTAGCACTACAAGTATGTCTTGTATTTTATTTAAATACTCTCGTGAAAACCATAGAAAAAAATTAACTGAATTTGTTTCTACTTCGTTTTTTATTTCGGTTTTGTTGATTCTGATTTATATGAAAATTTTGTTTAAATGAATTTAAACCCGACTGCATCTCGAATTCTATGTACTACTCTCACTCGTGAAAATTAAATAATTGTGAGTCAGAAAAAATTATTTTTGGTGCAAACTTTTGAAGCTTTAAACCAAAGAATTTATATTTGTTGTGGCATTTGGTCCGACCATTGGTAAAATAATTTTTACATGTGAACTACTTGTTATTGGGTAAATGATAGTTTTACATTACAAAAACGTTTAATTGCTTATACGGGATTTCCTAATGCTCACACTGCTTCTAATATCGTTTGTTTAATCTAACCTGTCTTTAATAGTTATAGAATTTGGTAAAATAAACTTTTTTTCCCAGTTTTTTTAGTTTTTTTATAATGCTAGTGGTAATACTGCATCTGAGCTTAAGTAAATTTGTCGTCTCTTTTGTTGAGAATTTATTTTTCATATTCGGTGTATGTGTTGTGTCTTAAATCTTTGTTATCATGCTTTGAAAGTCAGTCACACCCATTAAGAATGTCTTTACTTACTTCTATCGTCGTCCACAAGAAATGAAAAAATGGGGAAAGTTTTGTAGAAAAAAAAGGTTTTACACTTAAAAAATTTCACCGAACGTTCCTACCAATTAGAATTCAACTTATAATATATTAATGAGAACGTATGAATTTGCTAATCAATTAGAGTAATTTTTTCATAATTTTCAACGTAGGGATTGTAATGTTTTGGTATTGATTGGTTAAACTGTTGAACACTTGAAATTTTTAATAACATTTTAAAATACTAGTAACGTAGTTTTTGGTGTTTACTATCATACTGCTCAACTTGTTGTAATTTCAATATAGTCGTAATCTGGGATTTTAGAAATATTTTCGCTACTGATCTTGACAAACACGACAAACTTATAACAGATATGTTAAAAAAATTGTGAAAATTTCATTCCCGATACATTCCATCATTACGTAAAAATGGTTTGCTCAATCAACTTCACACATATTATGATATCATGTATCTAACTCCCACTCCAATTTGCCACTGATATTCCAGCTATCAGTGTAAGACTTAAATCACGACAACTCGTCGAGCAAGCAAAAACTTTTATTGTATGAATTGTTTAGGGAAACAACAATCGAACTCGGGAAAAATCCGGCATCATTTTCTTCTAATTCTTTCGGGTCTTCCTCTTATGGACAATGATGACAGACAGACACAAGATGCAAAAACTTTAGTGACTAGTGGGACGACAATTTCAGTCCCTACAAAAATGCTAAGATCTAAAGGGCGAAAAGGATTGGATACAGTGAGCTCGATCTCTACCTCACAGCAAATTTGATACTTACGATTCGCTATCAATCCAATACTTACGTATTGGATTGGTAGCCAAAGATGACTCATTATCCTATTCCATGCTTGATGGATGTGTGATTAATGGCAGATGGCTAAACATAGCAGTTTGTCGAGGCGACTGCCGTGGCGGCCTATGGCGTCGCCATGACTACCATCCTTAACAAATTTTTGCATGGTGGATTGTCAAATATCCGCCATGGCCGCCATTTTATATACTGCTTGATGGCCAACGAGATTTTCGTTGTCCCGACTTGGCGGTTGAACAAGCATTCCCTTCAATAAGGGAGGATATACAATGGACAAACGACGGTCGAGGATAACGCTACAAAACCTAGAAGCTCAAATGTTTCTCAGTGACTGGAAAAAGGCTGAAATAAAGGGACAAATGGCCATGCTAATTGCCAAAGATGATGAAGAAGCTAGTACTAGTGGAACAACCGAAAATGAAGAGGACTACGAGACCTATGACTACGATTACTAGACTGTCAGTCATTCCAGTCATCTACTTTCATCAAGATAAGCGAATGAAGTAACAAAACTACAAAGACTTTGATTCGCAAGGTAAAGGATACATAGGCAACTTAATTGACATATTACAAGTTAAAATATCATTTTTAACACATTTTTTCCAACTTAATCGATATTTTTCACTTATAATATATCAACAAAGCTCAAGTCAAATTTCTTTAAACCACCCCAACGCAGCGATTTTTTTTTTTTTTACATAAAAAGCTGGACAAGGCCGAAAGCGCTTGAACTGGGTCGTGCATATGTTTGGGCAGGTTCAAGTTCCGCCAAACCCCGGCCCAGAACCGAGGTTTGGCCACGTCTAGCTGAGAACTTGTTCTCTGATGCGAGGCGGTAGTCCAGCTCCACCACAACCGCCCTCAGCCCC